TGCCCTGGAGAGTATACCTTTTTTGAACTGGAAGGTGTCCCTAAAAAAACAAACAAAAAAATATTGACAACTCTGAGGAGGAGGGCAGAGAAAACAATGGAATGTGAGGAACTCAAACTCAGTTCAGGAGTTACTGCAATAGTTCATACTATTTTTTTTCTTTTTTTCTTTTGGATTACAGAAAGGGTAAAAAAAGGGAGAACCAAGCATGGCAGGTGAACACAAAAGGTTATCTGGGTTCTGAAAGAAAACTTGTGCTACCTAAATTATTATTAAACAATTCCAATAAACAAAGTCTGTGTAAGAACTCATAATTTAAGGGCCAAAAAATATGTTAGCAATTTACATTTAATAACATCACTGTTTGAACACTCTAAAGTGGACAATGTACCTGAAAATTTTTATTTCAGACTCAAACCTTTTTATCCAAAATGTTTTATATCATATCCTTTTTAACATTTTGCCCAACTCCTGGTTGTCAGAACAGAAAGTTGGAAAGCTCAAATAAGATTTTCATGTTTTGTGGTCACTGAAAAACAATTAGATTTTTTTAACTTCTCACCCACTCCAAATACCATGTTTTCAAAATCTCTCTGGCTTAGTGGTCTTTATAAAAACCCCTGTCCTCGAAGGGGCCACAATTTTAAGGGAATCACATCCAGAAACAACACTCAGGCAGACAGATGCCTTAGTAGTGATACCTGTGGCTTTAGCGTAAAGAAACAGTTCTGGCCCTCTAGAAAAGGAAACATCTGTGAACTCCATGGTCCTGCTGCCTCTATTATACCTTACTGTTTCCTTTCCCCACAGAAAATAGTATTAACCTAGTCTGTTGATTTTACTACTTACTTGTTTCTACTATTCTGACTTTTCAATAACATTAAAGAAAAGTAATGTGGTACAAAAATGCATTAAAAATATAAAATATTAAGCTCACAATCTTAAATGATCAAGTTTAGGAGGAAATAAACAACCCTAAGTGAGATTCAGCAGAAACAACCGACTCAAACACCTAAAGGCTTCAAACTGAAATTATCAGTTGTAATGTATAAAACAACAGGTATGAAATGTTTTAAGAAATAAAATAATTGGCATAATTGAAAACATGTTCACACAAAAATTGGTATATAAATGTTCACAGCAGCAATACTCCAGCCAAAGAGTGGAAACAACTGATGAACAAACAAATGTGGCATTATCCAGACAATAAAATATTATTCAGCCATAAAAAGGAATGAAGTACTGATACATGCTACAACATGGATGACCCTTCAAGCTATTATGCTAAGTGAAAGCAGCCAGGAACTAAAGGCCTCATAAATATATGATTCCACTTATAATAAGATGTCCAGGATAGACAACTTCATAAAAACAGAAGTACATTAGTGGTTGCTAAGCACTAGAGGGAAGAATGCAAAGTAAAAGATTAATGGATGGATATGAGGTTTCTTCTGAGGTGATGAAAATACTCTGGAATTAGATATGGTGATGGTTGTACAATATTGTGAATCTATTAAAAATCACTGAATTGTACACTGTAAAATGGCTAAAATGGTGACTCTTATTTTGATAAAACAAAGAAATATCAAAATATAACCTCCACCTCCTAGAACAGTGCCTGACACATAATAGGTACTCAGTATTTCTAAAAGAATTAACAAGAATCTGTTTTAAAAAATGACAAAGCAGATTTCAAAAGGAATCAAATATAACTTTTAGAAATCAAAAATATTCTCTGTAAAATTAGCAACTCAATGAATGGATTAAACAGCAAATTAGACATAGCTAAACAGAATTTGTAAACTAGAAAAGAGCTATGATGAAATTACTCAGAATGCAGCATAGAGAAACAAGTAGAGAGAAAAGAGATGATAGCAGACATAAATAGCATGAAAATGTCTGACATAGTTCAGTCCTAGAAGATAGTCTAAAGAAACGAAGAAGTATAATGACTAAGATTCAGTGAGATGACTAATATTCCAAAAATAGATATAAATCCACGGATATAGAAGAATATATACCAGGCTAGATAAATAAAGTAGGTTTTAAATCGAGTGTCAATAAATTTCAAATAATCACTACCTGTTCTGATTATAATGGAATTAAGTCAGAAAAAACAAAAAGACATAAGTATTCTAATCTGGAAATTTAAAAACATACCTCTAAATCATGTGTCAAAACAAAAAAATAGAAGAAACTAAAAAAATACTTAGAACTGAAAGATAATGAAAATACTAAGTAATAAAACACGTGGAACACCACTAAAGCAATACTTGGAACTCAAAATTCACTGGCTATCTTTCCAACTTAGTCAGAAATAACCAAATAAACCTCTCGAAAGTACAAGTTAATAAAACTAACAGCTGACATTAATAATATAGCAAAACAAATACATAACAGAGGGTTGAAACCAAAATTTGGTTCTTAAGACTAATACAATAGACAAACCTCTGGTGAAAGTGGCTAATTAATGAAAAAGCATAATGAAAATATCATCATCTAAAAATGCTCACAGCAGCTACTGAAGACTATAAAATTCTATCCCAATAAATTAAAAAACAGAGAAGAAATGAACAAGTTTCTCAAAAACAAAACTATAATATATCCAAATGGGCCCACCCAACTATAAGAAATTGAGTATTTTAAAATCATTCATAAACAAAAGATGACACAGTTCTGCAGTTAAGTGCTACCCAACATCCAAAATACAGATTATTCTAATTATATATACATCCAACCACTGTGAAATAAGGAAAGACTACCTAACTCAATTCTGGGAAACTAGTATAACTTTGATACAAAACTAGACAAGGACAATGCGAGAAAGAAAAATTACAGGTCAATATCACTCAGCATCACAGAAACAAAACTCTTAAACATTTACAGACCAAACTGTGCATTTATTTACAAAAATGGGGGAGAGGGGGTTCTAAACCAGGAACACAGGGATAGTTTAATACTGGAAAAAAATAAATTCCTCTTATTAAGTTTATAAGATAAATACTAAATGTGATGGTCGACTGGGTCACAAGGTGTCTAGATATTTAGTCAAACTTTACTTTGGGTGTTTTTGGATGAGTTTAACATATAAATGGACAGACTAGGTAAAGCAGATTGCCCTCCTCAATGTGGGTGAGTCTCATGTAATTAGTTCAAAGTGCTAGAGTAAGAAGAAATTCCTTATTCCTGCCTGCCTTTGAGCTGGGAAATCTTTTTTTGCTCCCGCCTTTGGACTCAAACTGAAACATCAGGCATTCTTCTCTGCAACCACCTCCTCTCTTTCAGCTAAACTGTATGTAACAGCATCGTGAATTAATTTTCCATTCATTCCTGAACCCATCACAATCTGATGCCTGACCTAATCTCTACCTAAATTCAATTACTCAATATCTATTAAACAAGATACTACCTAGTAAGTATTTCTTAAATCAATCTCTTATAACATCATCCTTAACTTTCTCATGCAACACATCATCACCCTCTAATAGTTTTCTATCTCATCTCACCCCTTTAGTTCATTCTCTATAGAGTAACCAGAGTAAACAAAACACATATCTGTTCATGTCACACAATCAAAACCGCATCCCACTTCCCTTAAAAAACCACTATTCTTAGGATCAAGTCCAAACTTCCAAACATTTGAACACTGCCTGCATGATATTGCAGGACATAGCCTCCTACACAATTTGTTCGCCTAATGTTCTACCACTTTACCCCAACTATTATAGTAACGGTCCCCAACCTATTTGGCACCAGCGACCGGTGCTCCTATGAGAATCTAATGCCTGATGATCTGAGGTAGAGCTGAGGTGGTGATATTAGCGCTGGGGACTGGCTGCAAACACATACGAAGCTTTGCTTGCTTGCCCGCTGTTCACCTCCTGCTGTGCTGCTCAGTTCCTAAGAGGTTAAAGACCAGTACTGGTCTGTGGCCCGAGAGCTGGGGGCTCCTGTATTATAGTGTTCTTTTATTCCTCAACCTCACAAAGCACATTCTTTTGAATCTTCATATTTGGAACTGTCTCTACTAAAACAAACCACATCTTTCTAAATCCACATATCACTCTATGTAGTTAAGGAGAACAATCTTTTTGTCTCATTCTTTACTAAACTATATACCCTTCATAAAAATAATAATATTCAATAAATATTTTTTGACTATCACAATCACAATCACAAAATACAATAAAGATACTTCATGGGAAAACTGGTCTTGTAGAAGGTCTAAGTGTCATGGCTAAAAAGAATACCAAAGGCCATAGTAAAACGCTGTTAACTAAATGGGAACAACAAAGACAATGACCTTGCAGTACTCTGAGGCAAAAGTGAAATAAAATATTAGCATGATCACTTATTAACACGTACGTTTCCAAGAGAAATGAAGAACATTTTAAATTTAACTCACAAGTTTTTCTTTCTCTAGTTTTTGCAATAAATTTTCCATGTTACTTCCAATTCTTGTCTTTTCTACAACTTCATAAAGGCTCCAATACATTCCATTCTTCAAAACTGACATAAGAAAACATACATAGTAAATATTCAAATTCAAATCTACTTCTGATATATTTAAGTGAAATTAAATGGCTTTACCTTCATTTGGACCTAAGTATGCTTCCTTGTAAAACAGTGCTAGAGGAATTTTCTGTTTCAGATGATCAATACTCATAACTGTTTCAACATCTAACTTCTCAGGACTGAAAGAAAATTGAAAGAGCATATTTGCCTTACCTGTATTAACTCTGGCAATATTATCTCTTTATTACCACCCCCCCCAAAAAATATCTTGCTGTAAGACAAAAAAGCACATTTATTAATATCGTCCTTTATTCTAAAAAGGATGCGATATGAGAAGTCCAGATACATACAGAGGCAAATAGATAACCTAGCAGTATAATCAATCTTCCAAGTTTAAGGCAGAAGCTAATTCTACATGCCAATGTTACTAACCACGAAGGATATAAGGTTATCATTTTATTAAAGACAATTCAAGTATATAACGTATCTTCAAACATTTATGAAGGAACACGTTTACTGTGGTGGTAGCAAAAGATCATTTTAGACCATTCTATTCCAATATGTTGCACAAGACTGAAAAGAGCCTACAAATTTTAATAAGTCACCACATCGAAACTGTTTCCAACAAAGAACTGATAACTTTTAAGTTTATCATGCTAAAACTGCTAAATAGAAACTATATCTAAACAGGATTAAACTTTAAAAAATCACTTTATAGACTTAAATTCACTAAGAAAAAGTTTTATGCCATAAATGTGTATGACTTTCTAGCTCATTCTCAAATCAAGACAGAAAAGTAGAGGGCTCATTTTGCCAATTAAATTTCTAAAGTAATCAAATCAACCTTTTAAAAAACTAACCAATATTTATATTTAAATTCTTATGGACCAAAGTAAAACTTAAATATAACTAAGAAAAGAAGCAAAGTAAGAAAGTGAACAATTAGCAACCATTAATTGCTATTTTCTTGTAATATACTTACAGTTTGATAGGCAAAAAAGCACGAGTGGCTGACCTCAGAGAAATATAGCACAAAAGCTTTCCTTTATTTAAAAGCTGTCCTTTCCACAAAGTATAGTTAAATTTATCTAAAAAAAATAAATGAATAAATAAAAAAAGACACAATTCCTGGCAGCTCAGAAATAAATACATTTACTAGAAATAAGGGGAAAAATGATTAGAAACAAGGTTTTGTAGAACAACAAAACAAAAAACTTGGCACTTCTATTTGCAATAGAGTTCAAATATTAAGATATTTGCTTAAAGTAACTTTTCCCCTACAAAATTATTCCAACTGCAAAGAATAACAAATTTTCTTAACATCTTCATATCAGAAAGCTGAAGAGCAAAGACAATACAGTTACTGCCCTCTTATTTCCCCTAAAGACCACATTAAATCTGATAAACTAAATCCCCTCAATATCTCATATCTTCTACTCAATCTCTTCATTGTAGAGAAACCTAACCTAAACCTCTGATGAATTTAATACTTTTAAAAGACTGAGTTGCAAAACTTGTTTTATTTTTTACCTTTATCAATCAAAGTGCTAAAACCTTCTGGTCTATTCACAACAAAAGCAGCTTCTCAAAGACTATGCTTTTGGATGAACAAATGTTGATGCTACATCATAATACGGCCTCACCCACTTTTTTATACTTTGCAGACTCTCATTCATTATAAAAACAAAACAAAGCACTGAACTTATTAATTTTTTATTATATGTACTTACTTTTTCAGTTTAGAAAACTAAAGGAAATATAAAAATCTTACCTGTGTTTCTATCTGCATTAAAGCTGTTAGATCTAAAAATAAATTTTAAAAAGACAAACATTACTGATTGCTAACAAAAGTTAACTGCTATTTGTAATGGCATATTATACAAAAGAATTAAATCCTCCCTCCAAGTAGAAAGAAAAAATTAATTATTTATTACAACATTTAATAAATCCAAGTCTACTTGGAGAAAAGAATTACTAACTTGACTTGAATTACCACATTTGCCCCAGTTTAAGGGAGCTGTTTTTCCCAAAAATATTCATCAGGAGAGAATAGAGTCCATTAAAGCAGAGGTCTCCAACATTTTTGGAACCAGGGACCAGAGCTCCTATGAAAATCTAATGCCTGATGATCTGAGGTGGAGCTGAGGCTGTGATGCTAGCTGGGGAGCGGCGGCAAATACAGATGAAAAAGCTTCGCTTGCTCACCTGCCACTCATCTCCTGCTGTGCGGTGCGGCCCAGTTCCTAATAGGCCACAGACAGATACCAGTCCGCGGCCCAGGGACTGGGAACCCCTGCATTAAAGACTCTGCCAATTATTTTGGTGGTAAGATTTGAAGAAATAGCCTCAATATATTATTTAAATCTACTCATTAACATTCAATAAATATTTACTAAGCTCCTATTATTTACCAGGCATGTTCTAGCTAACTGGATTACAGAGATGAACAAAGTCCTGCCTTCACAGAGTGTATAATCTCATGAGGCAAACAGACAATGATCAAAAAGTATCTAGTTAACCAGGTGATGATGGCTTTAAGTTCTATGGAGCAAAAAGAAAAAGAAACTAGTAAGAGTACAGAGATTAAAAGACAAAAATCACAGAAGGCCTCATTGATAAGGTCACCTTGAAGGAGAAATCCAAAGGAAATAGAGGTGTAAATTATGCAGCTAATGGGGAAAGAGAGGGAACAGCAAATGCAGAGGCCCTGAGGCAGGAGCATTTATGGTGGCAAAAAATAGTAAGTATGTTCAATCAATGCTTGCTTTAAATGATGGAATTAAAGAAGAAGCAAAGAAAATTAATGGATAGTTATTCCTGGGAGTCATGACCTCATAATTATTAAGTGCTGAGTATCTTTTGAAGATCATTGCTGAAAAGCACTATAGAACACGTACCAATGAGATCATAAATATAGAGCCACACACACACAAAATGAAAAACATAATTGTCTGGATGTTATGTGAATCCATACTTGTGGCTGTGGCTGGTTTCCAGACTAATGACTGACAAAAAATGTGCTAGATTTCAAACAAATGAAGACAAAATGATCTGATCTGGAAAAGTGATAAAGAGATCAACCTCAAAAATGTATAGTTTTATGAAACATGGCTTTTAAAAACAGCAGTATTTCTAAATAGATATCATACATACTTTGAATATGGAAACTCAAAATAAATAAACATTTGACCATTTCACCTACATCCCTGTAAGTGTACTTATTTAATTTTGTCAAAACATTTTCTGGAATAACCATATGGAAATATTAAAGGGGAAACTGCTTTGGATTTGTCACCTTACATTAGCACTTATAGGGAATGGTACTCTGAAGTCAGAATCACTTGGAAGCTTTTAAAAATTACTAATCCCTAAGCTACTTAATAAATATTTGATTTAACTGGTCTGAGGTGAGGCTGGAGCATCTTTAGTAGAAGCTCCCCATTTCCAGGGCAGATAGTAAACAAAATTTCACTTTTAAAAACTGCATTTACTCAACTATGCAGACCTTCAGTATTAAGGAAAAAAGGTTAACCAGTGAGGTTTAAGTAAATTTTAGTTTGCATCTCCACATAAGTTTAAGTATTTGTCTTTCACATTGACCTTTTAAGTTACCATGAACATATATAGCTATTAATTTCAAAGGAAGGGGAAAAAAAAGGGAAAACCAAGTATTCCTAACTAGGCAGTGTAAGATGTGTGATATAATACCATTCTGGATGATGTCCAAACTTATAAATCTTACCTTGATGAAGGTACAAACTTTGGAGGTTGAATATCATCTTTGTATGTAAAAGACACAACTGCATATGGACACACATGTCTTGGTCTTCTCCTTAGCTCATCAAAGCCATACTCATAAAAGTAAAACTAAAAATATGAAAATGACGAATTAACTTAAGAAGGTAAATAGTACAGAGTAGAATCTTGTAGTTTATCTGCCTGATTTTTGAGAAATAGAACACTTAAGCGTATCTCTAACAGACAATATCTTTAAGCACTGCTTGCCAATTTAATTTGTACTTTATATTCACTTAGATATAAAATATTCTGCTTCTTCATATACCAGATGGCAGGATACTAATAGGTATTCCTAAAGTTTACTTCTAAAGAGCTGGGAATGTGCAAAAATTTCTTCATAAAAATGTTACAGATGGAGCGTAAGCTCCCAGGTCAGACTAGAAAAGCCAATTTGATACAAAAAATAAAATACTAAGGACACAATCTCAACCAAACCTACCAATCTGTTGTTCATCATGTCAAAAGAAAAACATTCATCCTTCTAACCACAAAGTAGCAAAAGAGGTGGAAGCACAAACACAGGTGACAAAGGCAACTGACCCTCTTCCTACTACCCATCTACTTCTCCCCTTCACCTATTCAAAGCATCCATTAGATCAGGGTTTTGCGACTTGCAGACTAGTGGTCTTCATTAAAAAGAGTGCCCTGGTTTATAAATAAGGCATTGTCTGAAGTCCAGTCTCTTGGGAAACTATTGATTTAACAACGTTGCCCTAAAAATGCCTGGAATTTTTTTTGAAATATCAAGCCAGTTTATATGTTTTGCTAGAAAAGCCAATAATTAATTACTTTACAGTTTTATCTCATATCTACCAATACTACTGTCCAGAAAGTAATCTAATGAGTCATCCCAGGTAACTCTAGAGAATACAATTTGTGCTAAAAGCTCCCAACAATAGGTCTTACCCACTGAGATTTTTCAAAAAGGAGAAAGAATAAATTTTATTTATTTAAATAAAGTAAAAATTAAAGAAAGAAAAAAGAAAATATTTCTAGGAAAGTATCTAGTACTTTTCACATACAACCCATTTGGATACATAGTTTTTATACATTTGTTAAAGACAATGACATTAAAGTCAAACATATAAAAACATGACTAAATTTCATCAAATGGTATACTTTTACGTGTGTGTAGCTTACTGTGTATGAATTACATCTGAATAAAACTTAAAAAATTAATTCTAAGTTTGCATCTTAGAAAAATGTTAATAAAAATACAGAGTATCTATCAAATCGATAATACAAAATACGAAGTAAGGTATTTCAAGATCCTTCAACTCTACCTTGAAGATAAGCAATATTTTATTAGGCAGGAAATCTTTCTAGGCCAGAAGAAGCCAAAGCTTTAAAATGAAGTGAGGTGCATTGAGGGCTGAGATCACATGAAAAATCATGTTGGAGGTCAAAGTATATGGGCAGGGTGAGCTAGGCTAAGGAGTCTGAATATTATCTGTTTAAGTCTGAAGAGCCATTCTGTGATTCTGAGCTGTCTTAAAAACACTGAAAAAACAGCAGTGAAAGACACTGGAGTCTGGCAGTACTATGTGGAAACAAGAGCAGAGGGAACTGAAAGTGAGACATTTTAAAGGATTTGGCGACAGGTATCAGTTCATAACACTAAAATGGATCCAGGTACCCACCTGAGTAAGCTCATAGGCTCTGTAAGCCAAAAGTGATGTAACTCTATTGGCATTCTTCGACATGTGACATTCATGCTTTGGTGTTGGGTCCAAAGCACTTTTATTAGATTCCAAACTTTTTACACCCATGGGTTCATATATACTTTTCATTTTACCCTAAAAAGAGAAAAGCTTTTAAGTCCACCCAAACCTAATTACTATGTGTAATTAATATTATAGACTACTTCTTTGAATATAAATCACCTGTAACATTTTTTTTCCCTTTAATAACTGGTAATAAAGTAACACACAACACATTTTTACCAATATTAAAGAAAAAGTTAGCCATGAAAAAATTTGGTTAAATTTGTTTAATAACAAGGAAATAAAACTTTATTAACAACATTCTTCTCTAGCCTAAATGACATTACCAACAATTACTGTCCTTTCTTCCTTCTTTTCTTTGGAAAGGAAAGCCAACTCTAAAGTACAGTAAGCTCAGATCAAAGATAGCAAACCACTTTCAAAAGTATCTTTACATACCAAACACACTCACGCAAGCACTGCTTTAATTTAATCAAACTCCTAAAGACAGTCAACTAAAATCCAAATCAAATGCTGTCTTTGATATGAAATGTAAAAGCTGAAATTACCTTCATTATTTTAAAAATAACAACATCACCCACTGCCCCAGCTTCCAAAGGATTAGCTTGTAATAAATCAGCATACCTAGAAAGATAGATACCTAGTAAAGAGCAAAAAAAATTTTAATTTGAATTTGAATAGATGTGAATACAAAAAAAATCCAAATATTTAACCTAATGATAAGAGATAAACAGTATGACACCTTTAAAAAAATGTAATGACAATAAAGATAGCTGATATTTAACCAAAGCAAAAATAAAACCAGAAAAAACATGAAACTAATCAAAATCACTAAGGACTAGACTAAGAACAACAAAAAGATAATTTTGGATCAATATGGAGCATGCAAAATCAGAAACAAAAGATAAAACTGGTTTTACACTGCAGAACCTAAAATTAGTCTCCTTTTCAGGGAACATGACAATGTATATGTGAGTTATAAAGACTGCAGCAAAATTAGAGAATATATTTTTAAATGACAATTTAACAGTAGGTAAATGAAAAAAGAAAAAAAATTACCCATGGAAGGACTGCCAAGAATTGTAATTTTGGACTGGCCCACCTGTAATCCTTTTTCACATATGCTTTGAACCTAAATAAACAAAACACTTCATCTTGCAATCATAATACATTAAAAGTGTGAAAAGATCATTTGTAAATTTGTTTTCATAAAATGTAATAGGCTTTGAATCTATGCTTTGAACCTAAATAAACATTAAACACTTCATCTTGCAATACATTAAAAGTGTGAAAAGATCATTTGTAAATTTGTTTTCATAAAATCTAAGCTTTTAAACTATATATTTCCTATATCACAGAAATTTCATATATGCCAGTTTATAACTAAGTATCAATGTGAAACTGGCTTATGTTTCCAATGTAACCATAGCTAGAATCCATTTTTGTTTATGCTAGGTGTGACTGATACTCAGAATTCATGTCACTCATATATAAGCATCCCCTTTTAGAAAAAATTAGAACTGGCAAAATATTTAAAGAGAAAGTAACTCCACCTAAAATTCTTCAATTAAAGGAGAAAAAGTAGTTCTCAGCACGTACAAACAATATAGAAGATAATCTATTTTAATCAAGGGAAAACTATTCATTATCAAGCACATTCTAAGGAAAGAAAATAGGTTCATTTGATCAGAGAATATAGGAGCACATTTGAAAAACAAATCACAAAACAATGAAATACCTTAGTCCTATTAGATCATTTCTTCTACTTATACATTAAGAAAATTAGTTTATTATTATCAAGTGTGCTGTTGAATAATCGCAAAATTAGTGTCTTATCATGGAAACATCCCCATATTGTTCTTAATAAAATGGGATCACTTACCTGATACCGATCAACCATCAGAAATGCATAGGATTCTGAAAGTTCTTTATCTAAACGGCCATCGAATTTCAGTTCTCTTCGCTTCTCTGTAAACTAAATGAAATTAAATCTGTAACAACTCCATAGCATGTGATTACATTTTTCCAGCTAAGAGTTTCAAGAATTTTATTTCTAAGAAATTCCAAATCTACCAAAGTAGAAATTATCTTCTCTCCCTGAAATTTCTGTGCTTCTATTTTTTACCCGTTATAACTGGCTCTTTACCTTTACAAGATAGTCAAATAGCATCTACTATATAACAACTTTAACTAAATTTCTATTAAAATTTTACCACTCCAACTCTCCCATAGATTAAGTTCATATTTTACTTATCTTTGGATCCTTCATTTTACTTAACATGGTGCACTGTATAGAATAGGTGGTTTAATAAATCTCTGTTGAATGACCAACATCTAGACTATAAATTAAATTAGGACAAGGAAAAATGTTTCGTTTCTTTATAACTGTATTCTCAATGCCAAGTACATAAGATGTGCTCCATACATGTTTCAGGATAAAAGAGCGTTGTGGTCTAAGTAGATCTGAACTATAAGTCACCTTAAACTGCTGGCTTTTCCTTTGAAATACAAGCTCATAGATATACATTCAAAATACAGAGCCCATATTTAATAATTCATATATAGTATTCGGATTATTATTGATCTTTAATTAAATATAATTAGTGACTAAATTTCCATGTAAAGTTAAGAAATAATCTCTATCATACCATGAAACCACATCAAACTACCAAAGTTTTAATTTCCTCTGGGAGCCAATAACATTTATCCACTTCAGGGATCCTTTCGAAGTTAAATTCTGGTAGCACTGGGTTAATCAACTTATAAAAAGTACAAAATTAATTGTATTTCATGTACATTAGAAAGACATATATACACATCCAATTATTTCCAAACACCTCATTTGAATTACTTCAGAACTACATGTTGGCTTTTCCTAAATCAAAACTCAAAGAATATTCTAGTATGTACCTGAAACCTAAATTCACTATCCATCATGCCTAACTGTTTGCCTTCGTACTTTTTCATTAAGAATTTCAACCAATAATAAGATAATTCAATCACCAGGCAATAACTGGGGGAAAATTTAAGCATATCCTAAAAAAGAAAAATATACATTTATCTTCCAATTTGGAGACATAATACATAATTAGATTCCACTAACATGCACCTGAAGAGCAAAAAGCCTTGTTATGAATTTAAAACGAAACCATTATCGATAAGCTATCCCTATGCTTAAGATTTATATTCAGTGTAAGAAGTTATTTTACATAACTGCACATTAATTTAACAGAGCAGATAAATGTAGTGATATGTCAACAACAGGGAAAAAAAGATGTCATTTAAAACTGGTTTTCCCTTCCATAATTTGGTTTTCCTAAAAATTTTAGCATTTTTAAAGAAAAAGAAAATAAAATGAATTTCAGGCTATTAATTGATTCTGTAGAATCTTTTAATAATCACAATTTAAAACATACCTCCTTTTCCAAAAGTTCATTATGTACCAAGCAAGCACGTTTGTAGTTAAAATTTGTTACTGAGGTCTGTTCAAGGTAAGATGAATGAAGAATCTTCAAAACATCTTCAAATTCACGAGATCCTGGAGTTAATGGCTGAAAAAGTGCTAAAATAAAAAAATTTAAGATTATTCCATCTTAAATGTAGTTTCTTATATTTTTGTGGGTTTGTTAATGTAACTTTTAAATAAAATAAAAAAAGGCTTCAAGGCTATCTTTGTGATATGCAAGAGAGTACTTATTAATTCACTATAAGAAAAATTAAAACTGGATGCCAAATTGACCAGTTCCTTCGGCAATGAGCATCTGGCATTACACATGCAGACAATGGTACAATTTTGCAAAACCTTAGGGATACTACACTAGGCAACTTAAATTGTTTAAAGACTCTCACAAGAACTTGCCCATATACCTAGCTTGTCTTAACTCCTATTTTGTGTTACAGTGAGAAAGTATGTCTAGGACCATTTATTTCAGCAAACTAAATGTCTATACTCTAAATGAAAGCATAAAAACATTTAAGACACTCAGGTGTTTATAAAATGATTCTATTTGGTTTTTAATACTAAAGTTAGATATGTTGTATCCATTGACATCTTGTATTACCAATATAAAGTGGTAGAACATTATGAAAACTTAGCAAAATGAAAAGTGGAACTAGAGTCAAACCTGGACACAATATCCTATCTAGCACTTCATAGTTTTGTAGGAGACCCTGGGTAAATTAATTATTTAACCAAACATAAGCTCAGTTCTCTCATCTGTATAGAAAACTCTAGGAATCCTAGAAACCACTAATATGCAATATGCCACACGTGAGACAACACATGGAAAAAGCTCTAAGCACAGCATCTGATGCATGCAAATTGAGACAATATTTCTATTATCTATTCTTCCAGCTATTCCACACCCCATTTAATTTTTAAAATACTTAAGTCAAATATCTTTCTTGGACCAGTGGATTGCTGGTCCAATAACCTCAAATATCTACTTTATACATGGAAGTTTTAACTAATAAATTTCAAACATTAAATCTATACATGTATTTTCTCAAAACCAAAAAGAAACCACTTATTTTTCACTGTGGATAACTTATGTTACAGTTTATTACTACTCTTTCAATATATTATTTATTTATAGAGTCAATGTCACAATCAAAACGCTTTTGAAAAGTGTTCTCATATTCTTAAAGGTACCAGACGGCAGCTAATAAAGTGTTTTTACTGTATTTTCTATAGTTATTAGGCTTTAAAGAACATGTCAAATGATATACCCATTCATGCACTCATTTACCAAGCCATATATACATATGTGTGCATATTACAAAAGTGTTTGTAAAAATTTGCAATGACAGAATGTGTATAGACCAAAATGGTTATCACTACTGTGGGACCAGAAACTCAAAAAAAAAAAAAAAAAAAATTAAAATTAAAAAAAGGAATAACACCAACATAGTCATAATGTAATAAAAACACTGACTAGGAGTAAGCAGGGAGAACTCAAAAAAAAACCTACTAAACACAAAAAATATCTTTTAATCTAATTTGTAACAGATGAATGTACTCAATCTACTGATTGTAAGCTCTATGAGTGCAGTAACTATATCTGCCTTGTTAATATTGTCTTTACCATACTAGTAGTTAGAAATGTGAAGAATGGCCTCAATAAGTTAAATGAGTAAAGAAAATGAGAATAAATTTTGTTAATTTTTAATAAAATGATTTTTATAAAAATTGTCATTTAAATTAGGTCTCACAAATTCAACAATTCAGTAATATATAAAATAAAAAATTGAAAGCTCAAAAGAGGGAGAAATACATTCTCTCAATTCAAATGTTTCATAGGATGTGGTAGGAAAAAACTTTTCTTTGTGACTGCCCCACCTAAACTGGGAAAGACTTGGCAAGGAAAACAACATGTGGAATAGTCTTTATAGGCTTTCTCATCCAAAATGGGCCAAGCAAGATTTTAAAAGTTGGGTTTTATGCATGATTGACTTACATGTTTCTAAACTAACAAAGTGACTTCAGATAACATGTGCCAAAATGTTATCACATGACTTCAAATTTCTAGAAAATTTTACAAGTCTATGTAGAGGAAATTATTTTCCTTAGTTAAGCTACTCTGACACTTTTTCCACTATCTAATCATAAGTGAAAAATTAGTTAAATCATATAAATTTATATAGCAATTAACATTCAAGTTATTCTCAAAAAAGTACTTAACACTTGTTTCACCCAAAAATAATGTCCTAAAGATTTAAGTCAAATGCACTCAAGTAACTTGACTGCCAATGGGAAGAAAATTCTTGTGAATGAAAATAGAGAAAAAGGTGCAAGATTTCAGGTCTAACAACGAATTGCATTCTGGATATTTTACATTTCAAATGCCTCAACTGGCTCTACTAGTGTGGCATGAGCTATAATTTCTACTTTCCATCCCAATTATTATTTCTACAAAAATAAAATTATGCTCTATTTTTAAAGATTCAAGTCAATGTGGCAAAAATGGTAGTTTAGAAATTTAATAAGTTTATATTCTTAATGTTCTGGTGATCTATTTTGCCTTTAAAGATCTTTTCAACAATGGATATACCTCGATCAACATATATGGTCACCTCTTTTACAGAAAATATATACATATCATCATCTTAATTATGGGCCTTTATTTGAAGCAATAATAACTGTGACTATCCAATGAGGAAAAGAATATTTTATGTATTAATCATTTATTTAACTAAGTCAGTATCTAATATATTGTTCTCTGGACGTTGACAATTATTGAGTCCAATAATTAGTGGGTTATTACAACTTTTCAGATACTATATACTAAGAGCTTTACATGTATTATCCCATCTAATCATCAAAACCACCTATGATGTTCATTATGCCCATTTCACAAATGAGACAGCTAAAGTTAACTTCCTCAAGGTTACAGTTATTAGGACAGCTGGAATTCAAATTTAGGCTGCCTAGAGCTCCTGAAATTAAATAAAAGGGGGGAGTGTGTGTGCACGCGCACGTGTGTGCGCGCTAAAACTAATCATTCCAAAAACTAGAAACATGTATTTTTTTCCTCATTTTAGACCAGGAAATCATACACAGCACTTACACACAGGAAATAAGCTAAAAAAAAAAAAAAAGAGAGAGAATTTAATGTTTAGGATTATGCTATTTCTACCTTCTGTAGAAAAAAAAAAAGAATTTAATGTCTAGGATTATGTTATTTCTACCTTCTCTCAAATCTTTTCTTAAAAATATTTCTCATTTTAATGCATTTAACAAGTCCAAAGCCATAAAACCCTTTTTTTGGTATAGAAGTTAATGGCAGTAAAAATAGGTCACTCATACATTAATATACAATTTTACTTATTTACAGCATTTCCATCAAATCTATGTCAGAAAGGAGACTGAGTTAATTTCTTATAATTCACAAGGTTTTCCTATCAACAAAACGGATAATGGATATTTTATAGGACCGAAGAACGTATTTAGAAAGGTACTTGGAGATTTATAATTCCGAAGAGGAACTGTTATCTCAGAATCAGAACTAGAATTCAGATCTCCTGTCTCCCAGTCCATACATGCTATCATCAAATATTTTTTATTACTGGTAGTATACAAAACATACTCAAGAATTTAATGTTATATTTAAGCAGTTGTAATAAGACATAAAATTTAGGTCCTCAAATAGCTTTGTTCCTTAGTCAAAGGACCATTTTTCCTCAATTACTGACACCAATTTATTTAGTGTCAATGCTGATCTTTGTGTTAAGTTTGTACATGTGTAAGTATATATACAAAAACAAGCTAAACTTTTAAAAGATGAACTACTGTTATCAAAATGTACAAATTGATATGAACTATACATTGCAATTTAAAGCAATTTATGGAAGGAAATAATAAAAGGCTAGAGAGTACATGTGGTCTGCATTCTATTTGAAGACTACTAGTATTAATGATTAAAATACAATAAATATCTATTTGTTCCTCATAATAATTGCTTTTAAAATGCACTTTTCTCCAGTCTAGTAAAATTGCTAGACATAATACTTTAGGAATAGTGTTTCACCTTTAAATCAAGGTTGAACATACTGCAGAATTAGGAATGAATATGGTGGCAGAGATCTACAAAAACAACTACAAATAGGACTTGACTTTTTTGAATTGGAAGATTGGTTAAAGAAAATTTTACCTCCATCCCCCAGAATTTACATGTACCTATCAAGCATTTTATGTGGATAACTGGATTCTGCCCACACTTTCCTTCTCAGGTTCATTTTTGTGTAAGGAATCTATGGTACTTGGAACCCAATCATTCATCTACAACTACTGAAGCACAATGTAAATTTCCTTAAGGAGACTTTGCCCGTCTCCAAAAGGACAACTGCAAATTTTGTTGGAAAAGATGAGAGTTGGGGAAAAGAATTAGCCATGGACCAAAGCAGCATGGATGCAGGTGCATGAAAGACGGTAGTTAATTCATGACACACGAGACACAAGTACATGAAGGGCAGTTAATCTTGTGCCCTACAGCAAACATTAATCAGAAAACTTTTAAAGTGATTTCCCAAGAACTTTGGAAGGAAAAATTATATCAAATACAATTACTAATTTTAACTTACTTTTGATGACTTATAGTATTAGATTTCAGAGTAAAAGAAGGCAATAGTGAAATGTCTACTAACAAAATACAATTCTACAATTTGGTTAAATGGAAGAAAGTGCCTTTTTACACTATTACAGAAAGTAGCCCAGCCAATAACACAATATAGAGCAGAGTAAAATCTTATTCTTCCAGTCAGTAGGTCACTTAATCTGTCACTACTAATTCAATGAGTTATAATGAACATAATCTCGAAATTCCCCAGGGATGAAGACATCCCAAATATTTCTGAAGTTAAGAGATTAAAAAACAAAACATCTTTTTAAATGGGTCAGATCAAAAGCTACATAAAACTCTTATGCTATAAAAAAAAGTCTTCTACAGTTTGAGTAGTGACAAGAAGTATTCTACACCTAGGATCAAATTCCAACTTTACTATTTACTAGCTGTGTGACCTTGGAAGTTAATTAACCTCTCATTACTTCATTTTCCTCATCTATAAAATGGGAACAGTACCTACCACATAGTAGAGATTAAGTTAATACATATAAACTGCTTAGAATACCTACAACTTACTAAGTACTATAAAGTATTTGTCAATATTACTTAATTAGAATGGCAATATCTTGGATGTTACGTCATTGTCAGACCAAGAAAAGAACTCTGAGTCAACGATTTATACTAGTATTAACCTTTAAGGTACTAAAAATATTCAAGTCCTAATTTTAAATTTCACTGGAAATGTATAGTCACAAGGAAAAGCCTGCCATATTAAAATATGAATGCAAAAGAACCTTTGATACTAAAACAAGCAGAGGTATTTACTATTCATGAGAAATGACTCAGATGTCTACAATTAATAAATATGAATGCAAAAGAACCTTTGATACTAAAACAGCAGAGGTATTTACTATTCATGATAAATGACTCAGATGTCTACAATTAATACCAACCCAGATCCTATATATAAGGTGATACCTTTCAAGCCTTCCATGATTTTGGAATGAAGTGTGAAACTAGCAGCACCTGCTGCACTGTTTCTGATAAAGCTTTTTTTTTTTTTTTTTTTAAATAATGTAAAGGTGAATTTTTCTACTAAATTCTATCACCAAGCACTAACCTCTTAGCTTGGACAGGATAAAGTCCATAGTGGTAAAATAGTTGTTTATTTAATTTTTAAAGCCTCTATTTAAATTGGTATTGCACTATTTGACTAACTTGTCTATATTTAGACAAGTTAAAAATTACTCATTTTCGCTAAACATGAAAAAAGTCCAGTGTGTTATATTCTCCTTATCCATAACCTCCCTCACAAGAGAAAGGTAACCACCTTTTGCCTCTAAGTGAAAATGGAAAATACAAATTTTCCCCAAAGAGAAAATCAAGACTCAGGGGAGAAAACAACTAGGTTTCATATTTCTTAATTCCTCAATTATATCTACTTTTAGTGTGTTCAAATGAAGTCTTATTTTACGGTGGCCTCACAATCTAATTTTTTTTAAAAAGACAACAGACAGTGCCTTTCAACATCTCCTAGTGCGTTCCCTCATTTTAAACCAAACTAATTTTTCAACTCTATCAAGAGTTAAAGGGTGGTACGTAATGGTTTACGATGTAAGCCATATTCTCGGTTGCTTAAAAACCTAAAAAAAAAGACCAAAATTTTATCAAACTAAAAATGAAAAGTTCAATCTCCTACCTCATAACCAAAGTCCATCTGAATGTACTTCCAACCTACTCTACCAATTGACAATTTAGGCTGAGCATCTAACTTTCCTCATACAGACTACACCATACTACTTAACCAAATAAACCAAAAGAATTGACAACCATGACCTTTACAAGTATCCTCTTGAACTCCAAGATATATTACATTCACTTAAAAGGTATTTCTAGAAAAGATATTCTTCATGCTGGTGGACAAAAGGTAACTTCACCTTTGTCAACATGATTTCTCACACCAAGGACTTCCTTGGCTTTGTCATCCAAATAGAAAATAACAGTTTAACTTGATTTGTACTTGATTTAAGGCTCTAACAATTTCAATTGTGCAAAACAAACGGAGCTGGTTATGCACATGGAAAGAGGAAGCATATGCTTCATTCCAGATTCTAAGGTGTTACTAAGATTCAATTTACAAATAAGCTTTCTGTAAATAAAAAAATTCCCATAATTTTCCAAAGTAAATCATGACAAACTGAACCACGCGTAAAACAAAACGAGGCTTTAAATTGACTAAATCCAGAATATCCCAAATCACTGGATAGTCGAAAATAGTTATGACAAATCAATGGTGATAATTTTGGTCTCCATTAGAAATGTGTCAATATGACATTAAGTTTAAAAAAGGTAAATGTAGTTCATGTAACTGTTCCCATTTCGGTTCCGAAAACTAAACTGGACCTTTAAAAAAAAAAAGTCTTAAGCTCTCAAATTGGTGACCCTTGGGTATAAGCTAACCTCTCCCTATTTTTTTCCGTAGAGAAATTACTGCACCAAGAACCTACCTTCCCATTCTTCTCAAAGACAATGAAAAAATGCACTAAAGTTTGGATTTAAAAAGAGAGAGACCTATTTAACCTAACGCTTCAAAAACAATTTTAAAAATCTACATGGAAATGAAGTGTGATGGAAAAAGCGGTGTGCATGGATCACATCTAACGGGGATTTCTAAAAAAGGGAAGACGCTGACATCGAGGAAATTTCAAGTAGACACATATAGCTGAAGAATTTCCACAGGGAGAAGCATTTGTGATCCTCTGAACGCTATGGCCTTGGAGAAAGCTCCAGAATCCACGGCCACGGGCTATTTCCACAGTGAGACTTCTCAGAAGCATCCTTAGGAGGACACATCAGCTTCTCTGCCTTCAGGGGTTAGGAGGGAGGGGCGCCGAGCTCCATCTTTCCTCTCTGGGAGCTGCAGCCTTATGGACAAGCTTCAAACCTGAGCTACTTCCAACTTTCACGGGAAGAAGCGGGGAGCAGGGGAGCGTGGTTCCACCGCTTTCCTCTCGCACCAAGCGCAGCAGCTGGGCGGCGTGGCAGTGAGGGAAGAGGCGGCTGGCGCTGCATGCGTGTTTACGTGTCTCGGATGGGTGTGGGAAGGAGACAGAGAGGTTCTAATGAAAAGATGGAGGGGAGAGAGAAAGAGGGGTTGGGGAGAGGGGAAGCACCACCTTTCTTTTCTCTGCTCTTCCTGGGGATCTGAAAACTCCTCCTAACGGGTCTTTCGGGCTCTTCGGGGCCTTTGAGCAGAGCGGTCGCGCCCGCCTCAGAGGAGTCCTGAGGCTGCTCTTGGCTGAGGCTCGGGGTGGCCTCGGCCGCCGCGGTCTCCTCAGGCCCGGCGCCGCCGCCGGGTTCCGCGATGCTCAGGCTGCCGCCGCCGCCATTTTGTGGGGAAGACTCAAGCTCCGGAAGCGCCTGCTTCATCTCCTCGTCTCCGCCGCCGCCACTTTCCCAGCTCGCGTCCGTCGGCGGAGAGGCTTCCATTTCCTCAGCAGTCGCCATCGCGCCGGCGTGAGGAGCTCCGGGAAGCTTCTGCCAACAAGGTCGACGGGGATGAGGGGGATGGGGGGGAAGGGGCGGCGGGCCGGCCTCGCCGCCGAGCTGCTCTCAGCCCACCCACCCCCTTCCCCCCGTGGTCGCTGGCCGCGATCCCGACCCAGGAGCCTCTCGGGGGCCCCAAAGCGGGCGCCCCAACCGCGCGGCCCGGCCTCAAGAGCCGCTCCTCGCTCGGGCAGTTCTTCGGCCGGCCCCCCACCACTCAACGTGCTCGCGTCTGAGCTGGGAAGGGGCGGGGCCCTCACAGACCGCTCCGCCAATGGGGATGCGGTGCCCACCTCCGCGGGTGTGGATAAGACCGCGCCGGGGGGCGGAGCCTCAGGGCGCCGGAGCCCGCCAAAAGGGGCGACAGCTATGTCCCGCGAGTACCTCGACGTCGTGGCGGACTACGGGGTGAATGGGCCTCAAGGCAGGCTGTGAGTTTCAGGACCGCGCCTGGCCAGTGCTGCGGAAGAGGGAGGTGCGCCCTGCCAGGTCCCCGTAGAGCCGGCGTCGCCTATTTCTAGGCAAGATTACCTTCTCTTGTGCATGAGTTACACCGGCCAAAACTGGACTCAAGCAGTGGGTGCGGAACGATCCCGCCTTTGTGAAATCCATGCCTGCCCATAAAAGCCTGGAGAAGAGATAAGAGAATGGGCTGCAGTGATAAGAGCCTGAAAGCCTCCCGCGGACTTCAGGAGGTGGGGGGTGGGTGTCAGTCTCCTGGATCTTGCATCTTTACAATAGATTATGCCCACCTGCTCCCCTCTTTTAAAGAATTAGAACATGTGGTAGTCCAGCAAGCAAGCAGTCAATATCTGGCATCCTTAGATATGACTTCACAGCCCAGTGTTAAGATTTGGTTCTGGTAAGCTTGAGGGGAGGAGGGCCGCTGGCTTTAAAATTTTTTTCCTTTGATGTCTTCAGGTTTCCTAAAGTGTGTATACTAAAGAAAAATATAAACGTTTGCAGCCACATTTAAAAATATACAGCAAGCGGTCCCTTAAAATAGTCAAGTGGAAACTCTTTTGAAGTTTCTGCAGACTCTGTTGAAACTACTAGCATGGGTTATCATGAGTACAGACAAGATTTACTGGTGCTTTCTATATGCCAGGCACTGGAGAGTGATTTACATACATTAGCTCCATTTAATCCTCACAACAAACATTGAGGAGATGCCACCAAGGGGGCATACCTTATTGTGCTTTGCTTGGTTGAGCTTCACAGCTGTTGTTTTTTACAAATTGAAGGCCAGACCCTCCACCAGCAAAAAGTGTACATCTGGCTTTATTGTGGTGGCCTGGAACAGAAACTGCAATACCTCCGAGGTATGCCTGCATTATAAGTGTTTCAGGACATTGAACAAGTTAAGTTAAAATCAGAATTTGAAGTCAGGTTTATTTAACTGAAACATAAAGTACTTGCACTTGACTACTTCTCTAATCCTCACAGCAACCCTGCACCTTTTTGCATTATGGATAAAGAAATGAGATTGACATCTAATTCAGTCTCCCAGCAGCAAGATAAGGACTGGAACCCAAATCTCTAGTCTCTAACTCCAGCTGTCTCTCATGGAGGTGACTGACTAAACCTATAATTATAAAACTAGGCCTTGCCATGTGACGGCTACTTAAAGAACATCCCCAAGGGCAACAGGAAAGTTGGATTCCTATGTCCTGTGGTAAATATCATCCCTGTTTAACAGCCTATTGGAAAAGCTAATTATGGCTTGCTCAACCTATTTGAATCAGCTTAGTAAATGCAAGAAATGCAAGTGTAAAACAATTATTCCTTTTAGTAAAACGTTTATGTAAAAACTTTTAAAATACTGATGAAAACACTATGGGCTATGTTGAGACAAAATGTTCATTTTAAGTTAAAAGTAACCTTTTAAATTCAGAAGAAGAGTCTTTACTTGATATAAAAGGGGCTACAGAAGATCAGAAACAAATATTGAGGTCTCTGATAACTTTCGTTTTGTGAGTTCTTTAAAGACATCTTTTAAAAGCTAATTTTTATCAAGATTAAAAGATATAGGAACTAATTGCATACTGGTGCCACTGCTCAACTAAGGCTATTCTCATCTGTTCAGCAAAAGCCAACTTTACTTGGAAGGTAGAAGGCCTAGGTTATGCATAAGGCAAGCATACCGGTTTGTGTGAAGACCTAAAACTAAGGCTAGAAAACCATTAGTCTTCCACACAGATGGAATCTTAAGTTTTGTGAGGATAAAAGTTTTATTCAGTCTAAGTCATTTATTTAAATCATTTAAAAAATGAATCAATATTATACCTTATAAGGTAGAAGAAAATTAGGAAGCTCTAACATATAATTTTAACTATATATTCAATTATCGATAGCAAAAATTTTTAGATTCAGCTGGATAACAGTACTAATATTCAATATTATAAATATTTTTAGTTGTCTATTGGGTGCTAAGCACTGCTGTGTGCTGAGGATGTAACTCTGAAGCAAGTGGGCATGGTTACCTCCTTTGAGTTTACAGTCAGTGGGGAATATACCTAAAACTAGGATCAATGGTGATGGCTAAGTGGAGACCTAAAGGTCAAGTGAAGAATTCAGCTACAGGACAGAGATAGAGGGGGCATAAATTTACTAAAATCCACCTATCTCAGGAAAACTAACACAGTGAGATACAGAGGATATACATGTGTGTTTATATATGTATGCATATAGATATCCAGTATATATTGGGGGGATGGTTACTATGCGAAGAGCTACCACAGATGTTCATGGTTCTGGAGCATGGGCTACCAAAGGTTAAAAAGATATAAAACCTATGTTGTCCCCTACCCTCAGCAATATAAGGAACATTAGAGAGCAATATGAGTATATAATTAAATACCCAGGGACCACAGTCACCCTTTTAAATTTAGAAACAAAAATAATTCAGTTCAACTCATTTTAAAAACAAAGACAGTGGCCCAATATCATATAGCAAATAGAGTTAAGACTTTCTGTGTGTCAGGCACTGGTATAAGAGTGTTATATGTATTATTAATTCCCACACCAAGTATTAATGTTATCCCTATTTTACAGATAAGGAAACTGAGGCAGAGTGCTTATTTAAATTTCTTAAGGTCATTTAGATTATAAGTGGGAGAACCAAGATTCTAACCCAGGCAGTCTGCTTCCAAAGGCCATGCTCTTACTAACCACTATATGCTAACCTTTCTTGTTATTAGCAAACAAAGTTCAGAACTCTGTGCATTTTCCACTATGCCATTTCACCTTTCCTCAAACAGTTCTTTTAAAAACCAAGATATAAATGGTATAACTCAGCAGTAACTATCAGTATTACTGATGCATAAACCTTTGACCTCACAATTTTACTTCTAGAAATTTATAATACAGATATACATGCTCATTCACATTTGAAATGTTTATTCAAAGATATCCAGTGTTATCTGTAATGGGATATCAAGTGTCATTTGTAATAGCAAAGGACTGGAAACAACCTAAATAGAGTATAGCCATACAATGGAATGCTACATAGCCATAAAAAGGAATGAAGTACTAATACATGCTACCGCATGGATGCATATTGAAAAAATCATGTTATGTGAAAGAAACCAGACAAAAAAAGCCATATATTTATCATTTCATCCATGTGAAAGTTCAGAATAGGCAAATTCATAGAAACAGAAGATTGGTATTTCCCAGGGGCTAGAGAGATGTGGGAATGAGGACAGGGTTTATAAGTATAGGATTTATTTTGGGAGTGATAAAAATATTCAGGAATTAGATATGATGTTAGTTGCACAACTTTGCGACTGTACTAAAATCTATACACTTTAAAAAGATGGATTTTGTGATATATGAATTATATCTCAATTTTTTAAAAATAGAGGACTTTTTAATTCCCTAAGGACGTAGACTCCAAGTAGCAGACTCTCTTTCCCCCATCAGCTTTGAAGAAGCTGCCGTGAATTCTACAGCTGCCAACAACTTGAGAGTGCTTAGAAGAAAATTCTTTTCTAATGAGTGTCCAGGTGAGAATGCAGCCCATCTGACACCATGATTTCAGCCTGTGAGACCCAGTCATAGAAACCAGCTAAGCCATGCCATACTCTGACCTACTGTGAGATAATAACACGGATATTATTTTAAGCCACTAACTTTGTAGTAATTTGTTATGCAGCAATAGAAAAGTAATATAAAGGTTACAACATACCTGGCATTTTCTAAGTGCTTTGCATATGTTTATTTTATTTTCACAAGAAGTCTGTGAAGTAGGTACTCATTCCTATTTTTTCTGATAAAGCTCGCTATGTGCTTAAAAAAAAGAAAAAACAGAACAGGATGGCTCGAATGTTAACATTTGTACCAAAAAGGGGAAATACAGTTAAGTACATACACTTATTTGCATAAAACTTGTGGAAGGCTACATAAATAACCAGCAACGTTGGTTGCCTATGGAAAGGGAATGGGCCGGAAGACAGGTGGGCGAGACTTTTCACTTTATATCTTTTTATACTTTAAAGCACATGAATTTACTAAAAAAATTACATTTTAAAAAGGAAGAGAGAGAAGATAAAAGCATGCTGAGAAGCTGTTGTCAGTACTCAGTAACTCATACAAGGGGGAAACAGTAATATCTTAATCATCATCCAGAAAGTCAAAACAGATTTTAGAAGGATCTCTATATTTCGATATAGAGGAATGCTAATCTAAGCAATTAGGTAAATATATAGTCAGAGTTACAGTATTCACACATAGTAAAACAAAAGTGTTTATATTATCTTTGAAGTGAATTCACTAATAAGATTTCATAGTAACAACAATCCTTAACATTTGTAAAGCAATTTCTTATTTTTCTTTTCAGGTAAAAGATGTTATTTGATGCTCATACGTACCTTGAACCTTCAAACCTTCAATGTCACACAGCTAGGAACATTTTTTTTTTTTTGACAGTCCATTGAAATGCAGCAGTAGGAAAAGATAATAATAGCCAGTCAATAAAACCACCACTAAGATCCAATTCATAGAACTTTAAAGATCTTAGAGAATAATTAGTCTGATCCATTCATTTTATGAGTAAAAAAGTATTACAAGCCTACAACTCCATTGCCTATTCAGATGCATTGAAAAACATGAAATTGCTGTTCCTTCTATTATGCTTGAGCTAAAACAATTCTACTTCCATGGAGTCATTTTCTTTCCCCAAAGAACTTATCTTGTTACTGAGCGGATATTTCTTGGGTGTGTCCTAAGAAAGCATAAGACAGGC